CTCCAAGATCATCTGGTCCAACTATCCCCTTACCATCAGTATCACCCACTAAATCATGTCCCTAAAAACACCCCCAGGGATGGTGACTCCACCACCTTCCCTAGGCAACCTGTTCCAATGCCTGTCTGCTCCTTCTGAAAAGAAAGGGTTTTGTTTCTTTGACTCCCAGTAGTGGAAAACAGACAAACTCCGAGCCATTTGCTTGCTCCTTCCTTCCTCAGTGGCAGAGAGGGGGAAGTAAGACCAGAAACAAGAGCTTGTAAGTTCAGTTAAGGACAGGATGCTGACTTACTGCTTGACATCATGGACAGTGACTCACCTTGGGAAAAGTTAATTTAAAATATTGCCTATTAAAATAAAAAGGCATTTTTCCCTCACATGTTTTCTGAGAGGTGCCACCAGCGTGGCTGCTGGGCTCAGCTGTGTCCTGCAGTGGGTTCGCTGGAGCTGACTGGAATCAGCTGTGGTCAACCAGCATGGGGCAGCCCCTCTGCTGCCAGCACCTTGCCACATGCACCCACTGTATAGCCAATTTGGCAGTCCTTCATTTTACAAAATAACTGGTCAGCAAAAATTAGTCAAAGTGGTAGTTAAAAAGTAATAAAAGACTTTGGAATTACTGATAGTTTTCTAAAAACAGTGTCTCCATAAAAATAGACAGTGAAGGGCAAGGTATCATCAAGAAAGGTGTTGGAGACAAGGCAGTGTCATTTTGTTCCTATTTAAAGATATATTGAGGTTTGCCACAGTATGATGGATAAGGCAAAGGAATAATTGTTATTTACCAAATCTAAAAATACTAGAACTAGGCAGGGTTTGCTGAAACATTTTAAAAGGAAAGTAAAAAAAAAAAAAAAAGGTAAGGTGTTTCTTTTACACAGTGAATTATGAACATCTGGAACTGTTATGACAGGAGGTGGTAGAGCAGGACAGTGGCAGTGGGTTCAAAAAAGGCCTCTCATAACTTCCCAGTTAACAGAACCAAGGCCAGATAGTAAAGACAGCAGTCAGGGAGAGAGACCTCTGGGTTCTGTGATCCATTGGCATCTGCTGGGAGAGCAGGAGAGGAACGAGCTGCGGGTGGTGGCCAGGCTGATGTGCTCTCCCTTGCTAGGAGTGGAGTTTCTGCAGTGACTGGAGTCAGAGGACTGAGTAGAGTAGATATCTGACCTAGTCAGGCAGTGAAAGATTTACTGAAAATCAGAAAATGATTTTTTTTTGCTAGAATCAGTATTGAAATACCAATTGTAGAAACTCAGGTATCTGATACAGACTCATTTTTTCTCTGTTCTCTAACCTTGCTAGTCTGGTGGAGGTTCACATTATTGTGGTCCTATTTATTCTGAAGATGTTTTAGCTTAGTTGTACCTTGGTATTGTTGTACCTGGTGATGTGATGCTGAGCAGTCAGGTCCAGAGGTCAAGCCATTTCTTTGAAATTCCAAATAATTAGATTGCAGCAGAAATAATTCCATTAGAAGGTCACGAGGAGCAGACCTGAAAAACTTGTAATAACTTTTCTATATTAACCAGTATTGCAGAGTATCTGTTTATGAAGGCTATTTTTGTAAAAGTCATGGTTTCAGATGAAGAGTGCAAGCAATTCCATGGCTCTAGTTAGACCCACATTATATAGAGTTTTTTCTGCTCCTGATGTTATTCACTTCCTTTCCAGAATTTTTGCCTAAATCATCTGGTTTGAGTGATTTGATAGAAATAGTAGGAGTGCTGGTTTGGTTTTAAAAGAACTGTTCCTACCTTGGAAGTAATGAAGGTTTGTTGTCTGCCTGTACAATCTGTTTTTTGTTCCCTAGTGCTATAAAACTGTGTGACTTGGGTCCTGTATTAGGGCAGGAGCTGAAGGATGAGTTGTAACTGCTCTATTCTGTACCTTTACAATAAGGTGCCCAGGGGACAAGCATGATCATAAGGGGTACTGCTGTTCAAACAGATTTCTGTTTGTCATGCAGGAGATATGTACATAAAATTACTAGACTGTGTGAACATCCTATTACAACAGAAATTTTGTTAGGCTGAGAAATCAGTCTTACAGAAACCAATACCTGGATAAATTAATGCCCTCATTACATAGAAAGGATACCAAAAGATCATATTTAACTGGGTAAGTGTATGCACAAAGTGTGTAAGTGTAGCAGAGGAAGCATTAGAATGCTTTGTAACTTTATGCAGGACAGAAATGTATTGCTGTACCCACAGAAGCAGGGCTTCTTTTGAAAATCCTGGCTTGGAGATGTGGTTAGACACATGTTTATTTGCATCTCGTTATAGGTAGTTGGCTCTGTAAACTTCTGGTCTTGTACCTAACCAAAATGAAGATCTCTACTGTTTATATATACATACGTTCATTTCATCTCATTTAGTCTTAAAATGTATTGCCAGTGCTCTTGCATTCCTACCAATTGGAGGTGCTCCTTCATCATAATTTATTTTACTGTAAAGCAGTAAGATCCAACAACAGTAGGATCATTTTAATGAAACTTTCTAACCTATCAGCACCTCCTGCATCAGATTGTTTTATTTGTTTGACTGAAATCACTGAAGAAAAGCCTGGTCTGTGGTGACTTTATCTGCTATTTTGTATGGATATCAAATCTCTCACATGCTTCTCTTTCACTCTTTTTACTGAGGATCACCTTCCCATAGAACATTGTTTTCATGGAAGAGTCATATGTATACTTAATAAATGCATTTGCTGTGTTGAACATTCAGCTGTCTTGAATCTGAGATGGTTATTCCATTCTGCTTACCTTTTAGAGGCCCAAAATGTATTTAATTTCATGTCTCAGGAGTCTGTATTTTCAGTGCTGTCCTCTTTTTAGTCATTTTTTCAGTTTGTTGGGGGTTTATATTGTCAAAGCCAATTCTGAAAGACTGGAGATAAAAATTATTTGGTTTGTTTAGATTTCATTGTGGAATCTTACGAGAGATCTTGTTAGCTTCAATTCCTTTGTGGAGTGGTTAGAAAGAGCCATTCCTGTTGGTTGTCTTGATATTCTAATGTCTTTAGCAAAACTCTCTATTTCAAAGTTATAGATTAATTTGGTTTTCAACAGTGTTTCTCAAAATGGGTTTTCATTTAGGTGTTTTTGTTTTGTTTTAATCTATTCTTGGTGTTCTTTTGTTCTTAGTAATCACGTAATAGTGGTCTACCTAATGATTAGCTTTTGCAACTTGATGACTTTGAACTTTGAGGTAGTTTTCTGAGGTATTTTTTCCAGTGACTTTGTCCAGCTATCTCTTCTAAACATTTTATATCACGGTGCCTGTGAATATCAACTGAAGGTGGAGAAACTATTCTGAAAGAGAACACACAAACCCTTAAAGGGTAATGTAGTTTGTATCGCTAACGAAGCACAACAGATGAAATCTGTCTGTTGCACAGGAGTCAGGGTAATTGCAAGTATTTGGGATTTTTAACAGCTGGGTAGTAGTCTGGATATTCCTTGCAGAATAATTCTGTAGTGATTTTATTTGTCTTTTCCTTCTGGAATATTACTGCTTCAGAAAGCTTGATTAGCATTAATCAACCCCTTCCATAGGGTTTAAGGAAGACTTTGAAGGGAACAAGTTTAGGCAGAAAAGGAGCATCTTTGACAAGTGGTGTATCTATAAATATGCTTAATATTATTACATTGGCCTACAATGGTAATTTTTCTCTCTTTACTCTTCTTCCAACATAAAATAGTTGAGCAACTAACACTAAAATATATTTCTTTGCAATATTGGAATAAAGCAGAGTTAACCTAACTATTATTCTGAATTCACATTTGAGTTTTGGCATTTGGAAAATCCAACCAATGCTTCATGTCTTCAATCAAAGGCTGTAGGAAAACATATATAATTGATTGATGTTTTGCAGATAATACATGATAACGTGTTGCAAATAATACGTGATAACTTAAAAATGATACGACTGTATAAAGGCCTAACATAAGATTGCTTGTAGAGTTGAATGTTGAGCTACATGTTGAAACTCAAGGATTCTTATAACAAGCATACAAAACAGCCCAAGTTTGAAACAGAAAACCAAGAAAAAAGGTATGAAATGAAGCATGTTCAGGCAATTTATCTATAAATTAAATGTGATTTAAAAAATATAAACCAAAAAAATCTCAACACTCTAACTGGAAGGAAAGTGTCAGGCACTAAGGAGGTTTGCTAATTTTCAATGTTTGTAAATACTGATTTGAAACAAAATATGGCTATTTCAAAAATTCATAGGTTTCAACATCCAGTTATAAATGTTGAATATAACATTTGCTGGTGACTGAACAGAGTGAACTCCCACCCTAGTTTAGGTCTTTCTCATTCTTTAGTTACGTCAATTACTTCTGTGTGGGGAAAGCAGGGGGAGTATGTATAAACAAACTGTTAGTAATGTTTATGCTGTTTAATGACATAGGTCACATACACTGAAAACACTATGGGCTTGAGCTCTCTTCCCATTATTGGGGTACTACTATTCCTTTCTCATCCAGTAACCTGATCTGATCTCATAGCTGACTCTGCTCAGAGCAGAAGGTTGGTCCAGAGACCTCTTGAGGACCGTTCTAGTCTAAATTATTCTGTAAGTCTGTGATTTAGTTATGTCCGTTTTAACTTCATTATCAGATTCGTTTGTTTACAGTATGTTTGTACAATAATACGAAGTACATTGCTCTGGTTGCCTTAAAAGTAAACGGTGCAATATCCATGCATACATGATTTTTAGGAAAACAGACATTGCTGTTTAAGACATTCTTCTTTTAAATTTCATGATTTTGTCGTGGGTTCTTGAGTTTTCTTAATTTTAGACAATTTTGTTATAAATCAGATAAAATCATTTGCAGACAGCTGATACTGTTAAAGGAATAAGATGCCAGAAATTTGCAAGGTAAATTTAACTGCTTCAAAACTGTGCCATAGCTACAACACAATTGCTGACAAAATGTCTGAGGTCATCCTTAAACAAGTGCTATCATCACTACTCGTTCTTTGCAGGGGATGGAGTGCTAGATCTCTCTACAAAGAAAAGCGCAAGGTTGGAAGAACCCAAATATGATCCATTGTGTTCTGAAAACTCGGTGTCTGGGTAAGCAACGTTTAGGACTCTCTTCGGCTTATGTAAAAGAAAATCGGGGGTTTCTCTTACTTCTCTGAAGTCAGGTTTTATGTTCATAACATATTTGTATATACTGACACACACGTGTGGTTTATATTTTGCTTTCAAAAGAATTTGTGTCACTCATAAGTGTGTGTCTATGTATATATCATATGTTTCATTTGTCTTTTTCCTTTTTTTCTGTTTAAAGAAAAGTTATCAGAACAATCACCAAACTTTAGTTCATGTTACTAAAAATGAACTGAAAATTGATTATGTAACACAATAAAAGCAGTAGGACAGTAGAAGAGAATGCAAATATATTCTTTCAGAGTTTACTTAGGAAACTTCAATTTTTGACAAAAATTACCATGTTAATATTTAGATTTAAAATATTCTTCAACTAACATGAACAATTAAATGACTGTTATCTATAATACTCCTTAATATGAGAGAAAGAAAGCGCGCGAGAGAGAGAGCTCTTAATCATCATACTTATACTTACATCATGGTTCTGGCTATGGTGTGTGGTGGCAAATAGTTAAATTTCTTTATTCAGCAAGAGAAATGTTGTTGCATCTGCTGAAAGCTACCACAAAGCTAGTGAAACGCATTGTTTTGTTGGATTTCGTTATGATTTTGGCATCCTCCCATCCACTAGCCATAGCAGGACCCTTTTTGTCACCTGTACGTCTTACAAAATAACTTCTTACCAATAGGAGTCCAATAGCAATATTTGTTGGATGATGTAAAGTTGCATTTTATTAATTTGCTGATATGAAGAAGTTTAAAAATTAATATGACTTTGTAATTAGAAAGCTGTAAATAGTGGCTAGAAGTTTTTAAACGTGTGTTTTATTTTGCCAAAATGGACTTGATTGTTAACTACAGCTCTTTACCTTATGGTTGTAGAAAACCTAGTTTTGTGTAAGTCTGGGATGGTTGTGTGTAGTTATGTACTTATTGCTGCAAATTTTCTATGAGGGGGTTGACTCTTTTATTACTTGTTTAGCGGTAACGTCACGTTTCTACTAACAAAAACTCCTTCAGGATTTGGGTATTTAATGGAACGTTAATTGTATAATTAAAATTATAACAGTGTTGCTCTGCAAGTATGTGAACAAGGGAATATAGCAAGCACATGAGAATATTATCGAATACTGAGCTAGGATATAAAGTTCTTGGAAGGGCTGCTGTAGAAGCCACCGTATGATTTTTGACGCACTGTCCTACCAGAACTGTAACGTTTTGCTAGGATAATCATTTAACTACCACATCTCAAAGGCTTAAAAGTATCAGAAGCAGTGATGTTACCGAAGCAAGGAGTATAATAAAGGAGTGGACCCTTCCCTTCCATAGCTGTGTGAGAGTCTCTCATACATCAGTTTACCATCGTTTCATTCCATCCATCCAGGAGACTACACAGACACAGAGAGGACTATGTGGAAAGAAGTGCTGAGTTTGCAGATGGTTTGCTCTCAAAAGCTTTGAAAGACATTCAGTCTGGAGCACTGGACATAAATAAAGCAGGCATACTTTATGGCATACCTCAAAAAACTTTACTTCTCCACTTAGAAGCCTTACCAGCAGGAAAGCCTGCACCTTTTAAAAACAAAACTCGAGATTTCAATGATAGTTATTCATTTAAAGACAGTAAAGAAACTTGTGCAGTCCTACAAAAAGTAGCCTTGTGGGCAAGAGCTCAAGCAGAGCGCACAGAAAAAAGTAAACTCAGTCTACTTGAAACCTCAGAATTAAAATTCCCAACAGCTTCCAGTTACCTCCACCAGTTAACTCTACAGAGAATGGTCACACAATTTAAAGAAAAAAGTGAAAATCTACAATATGAAACTACAAGTCCTACTGTACAATTAAAAATTCCTCAGCTAAGAATAAGTTCTGTGTCCAAACCACAGTCTGATACTGCTGGTCTTCTGGATGTTATGTACCACGTTTCTAAAACCTCCTCAGTCTTAGAAGGATCAGCTCTTCAAAAATTGAAAAATATACTCCCTAAACAGAACAAAATTGAATGTTCTGGACCTGTAACTCACTCAAGTGTTGATTCCTACTTTCTGCATGGGGACCTCTCTCCTTTGTGTCTTAATGCTAAGAATGGGACAGTAGATGGAACCTCAGAAAATACAGAAGATAGTTTGGATCGTAAAGATAATAAGCAGCCAAGAAAAAAACGTGGCCGCTATCGGCAGTACGATCATGAAATAATGGAAGAAGCAATTGCAATGGTAATGAGTGGGAAAATGAGTGTTTCCAAAGCACAAGGAATTTATGGGGTACCTCACAGCACTTTAGAATATAAAGTAAAAGAAAGATCTGGAACATTGAAGACTCCGCCGAAGAAGAAACTCCGATTACCAGATACTGGCTTATTTAATATGACAGATTCAGGGACTGGCAGCTGCAAAAATAGTAGCAAGCCTGTGTAGAATAATTGTTAGCAAATTGTTTTGTGTGTGTGTGTATGTATGTCTGTATACACACACTGTGTGAGAAATACATATGTTCACTCTGACAGAAGACGTGAAATTATACAGTTCAAAAACCACATACATGCCTTTTGAAAAATAGTTTTATTCAGGGTTTTCACTGTGGACAGAATTATAGAGTTGCTCACTTAATTCTGATAGTGTGTATTTAATATAATCCTTGTATAAATAGGTGAAAAGATTCAGGTTTTATTTAGTAGTCAATAGCATAAAGATGTTTTGGGAAAACAAGTATTTGTCATGTGAAACATAATTTTTAATTGGTGAAAAACCACTCTACCCATTCAACAAACCATCTTATTACGGAAATACAAGAACAATGGTTAGCAAACTTCTAAACTTCACAGAATACTTGCAATAAATTGTAAGTAACTCAGATTATACAAATCAAGGGATTTTTTAAAAAGCTAGTTCCTTAAAAGAAAGTGAATTTGTGAAGTATTAGTAGGATATAGTACATTCTGTGAAAGAAAAAAAACTTCATCGTTACTTAAATATCCAATACAAGTAAAAAATAAACATTTCATTACTAAAAATGTGTGTTAGCAGGCATAAACTGCATTTTTTTATCATTTTAAGACAATTTTGTTGGTGGTTTAGAAAGAAATTGGTGTTTACAAAGTGTACACTTATGAAACCTGAGAAATTACTGTAGTTATAGAATTATTAAATATGAAATAAGATGGAATACTAAGAGCATAAAATAATTTAAACTTAAACCTAATTTTCCTTTTTAGTTTGAAAAATAAGGTGACTTGTAAGGTTTAAAAAGAAGGTTGGAATGCAACTTAGAGCATGTTCATAATGTGCACAGAATGAGCTTGAGAATGGCGTTTTGTTTTGTTGTTCTTTTTTTTGTTTAAACGTTAGTTTAAACAAAGTGTTTAAAGTTAGTGTTTGGTTAGTTGACGTTATGACTACTTAAAATTTATTTAAGGATTGTGTCACACTCCTATTGAAAAACCTCACTGTAACTGTAATGTATTTGCTGCTGTGACATTTCAAAACATTTTCAGTTTATCAAAATGAATACCAAGTTACATTATCATTTTGCTAATAACCAAATTTGCAGTTCAGGGTCTTGATAGAAATACAAATATTGAACAGTGAAGCTGTTTTGAACGTTCAATAATATAAATTCTTTATAAATTTGGTAGTTAGAAGCTAGACAGTTCACTTTAAATAGGTAACTTTTAATAGAATTTAAGGGAGACCAATTACCTTCATATTGCAGTTTTTAAATGAATTTCAAAGTATTCACATTGGACTTTATATCATACTTAATTTTTTCATGGAATATCACAAAGAACGTGTCTACATACGAAGAATGGGGGCTTGCTTCATGCATTTGATACAGAACATCAATGCCCTTTTCCTCTCAAAATGTAATTACTTCTGTATGCATCTAATTTGGGTAGAAAAAGACTTCTCTCCAACTTTTATACATTTGTTGCACATGCATACATTGTCAATTTTTTTCCCACTTAAATTTGCCTGTGTATAGGTTAATTATAAAAACTGAAAGGGGACATTAGATACATATGGGCCACATCAGGTAACTTGATTTCTAGATAAACTTGCCATTAAAGTCAGCAGAGAGCATACTTACAATATTGATGGCAAAATCTAGCCCATATTTATTAACCTTATTAAAAAATAACAACTTACATTTTAAAATACAATAATGTTCCTTAAGTGAAGCTGCACAAACAGTGTATCACTTCTTTGGTCTCTCAGATCTATACTGAATCTTCTTCAGTGACTAAGGTTTACTTGCATATTACAAAATGAATCCTTTTTTACGCAGAACTGTACCCGATAACAAGGAGGTTACAAAACAGCAAGTGTCAGGGTCATCTTTCCTTTTAAAAGAATTAAGCCATACTTTGTGAGGGCCAGAAGGATTAAATTCTTAATGCATCCCCACTGGAAAGTGAAGTTGAAAATAACCTTAAACGTTTCAAGATCTGTCTTTATACAGTTTTACTTGCAAAAATTTGGGGCTTCAATACTTTGCCTAATATTTGTACCATACTGGTGTTTTCTACTCCTCAGACAATATTATAAATTTGAATCTGAAGTTTATATTGAAGGCAAGTTACAGTACTCTTTTTATATCATTTAAAAGATGACCTGACCAAAAAAATAACAGGATTCATAATATCAGGGATCATTTTACTATTGACTTAACAGTACTCAGTAGTTTTGTATGTAATATTATAATTAATTTTCAACATTTTAGTACTTGTATTTATTTTTTGGTCAGAAATAGTATATTAAAATATTTTTTGATAGTTTATAGATGATACTCAACCTGTAAGTGTTTAAAGGAACAGAATTATTTGTTTCTAATTATTAGGCTAACCTTTGATTACACAACTAAGGAAAGGCAGGGAAATGTGTAGATTCTCCTTCCCCAACCCCTATGTACTCCATTAAATGTCATTTAAATTACACACTTTGAACTGTTTTATAAATTCAGTTACCAGTCACTACTTAGTAATTGACATTTTCTGAAAATCCATGTTTCAGCAGAATTTTAAATGAAGGCGAAAGCAAGCCCTACATGCTTTCTACTTATTTGAATGTTTCTCAAGTATTTTATATTAAAAAACAGTGCCTCTGTTTTTAGAACTACTGCTCAGTAAAGCTGTTTAAACCATTTCTGGTAGCTAATGACAATTTTATATTAAATTGTATATTAACTTTAGTGAGACTGATTTTTTAGTTGTTTACAGTACAAATACTTGTATTTGTTTTTTAATTGCAGTATTTCCATTGTCGCAGTAATTTAGTAAAACTCTGTGGCTGCCTTGATTTTTGACAGATTTTTGTTAACAACTGATTTTTAGGCAATTAGTTATATTTATGCATAAATCAATTGCACTATAATTCATGAATTATTTATTACAATATTTTCTAATGAATTCCATGTATTTGTCTTGTGTTGTAAATGTACTGTAATTCTGTTTCTTCTTTGTGTTGTTATATTCCTAAATCTGATTGTATGAATTTAATTGTTTAGTTAACGTGTTTCTACGTTGTAATTTGTAGTAAAGCACTTCAATGCTTTTGCACATAAATTTACAACACTGATGTGTGATTGATTTGCTCATTCAGTAAAAAAAAAAAAAAAAAAAAAAGAAAAAGAAAAGAAACAAAAAACCTGTACACTGACTCATTTGACTTACTCCTGAGGCACATATTTAACAGGGGCATTAGATCAAGACCTGTACAAATTAAGCATTTAATGACTAATTTACTATGAGAATTTCATATAGCAGAGATCATAGCTTTAAGGAAGGGTGCTATATGGGTGCTTAAATGGAACCAAATATTCATTTTACTAATACTATTGTGGATAAAATACAGCTTTGGGGGAGAGATTTATTTACTTAGGAAGTTCTGTGAGTACAAACTGATAGTTCCATCAGAGTTCTATGCAGTCCATACAAGTACCTGCAGATGTGTTCTGTTCCCAGTTCTGCCCCTCTGCTCAGTCTTCAGCGACATTGCTAGGTCGGTCCAACAGGGACAGAACTTTAGGGAAGGAGATCTTTTGGGAGTCCTCTCATAAGAACACTTTCCTGAGAATTTTCTGGATTTGAGGATAAATATTTGCTTATATCTAAAATAATATGCTGAAGGGCTAGTTCTTAACCTTACCACATCTCTGCCTTTGTGCCAGTTCTGGACTCCAGTCGATCATCACTCTGTGGTATTAAATGCCCCTTCCATTACAACTAATGTAATTCCATGCTTGACCTTTGTCTTCAGGGCTTTTGTACACAGAAGGTGTTGGGGGAGCAGCGTGTATTGCTCCCGTCCCCTCTCAACTCCTCCATTTCCTATCCACTCTCACTGGCCACCTTTTTTTGTGTCTGTTGTAGGAAGTGTAAGGCAGCTCTGTGAAGGAAGGATGCAGCTGTGAAATAGCTCGTCCTTCTGTGCCGTTAATGCTAAAGTCCTTTGTCCCAAAGAGAGTCTTAACTGCTGTGTGACAACACAAATTTAAAGGGCTACAGGGAGCCCTTTCAATTTTATTGAAAAGCTATTAAAGGAGTTTGTCTAAATATATGGACATCTCTACAGAGAGAGACTCTCTCGAAAGAAAAAGCGTTGTTTTAAAGCTTCTGTGTGTTTGCAGAGTAAACTCTACTCCCAGATGGTGACCATGTCAAGGCTGCTGCATTTTCACAAGCTTCAGAGACCTTTTGGAGTATGGTAGCATTGCCCTAGGTGAAGTTGTCTGTCAGCTTTAGAAACTAACACACACGAAGGGAAAGCAAGTTTTAGTTGTGTTACACAAGGGTAGGTAGCTAGGAAATAAATCATGTTAGGAGAATGTCCAGTATGTCCGCAGTAACCAGCATATTATTTTTTAATAGATTAATCTCAACATATCAAATTCAGAGCAGTTTTAACTTTGAGAAGGTTTTAGCACTTGGGAAGGTTCTTCCGCCAGTGAGCATATATGAAGTAGCAATTACTTACATTCTGGATACAAGCAGTCTCCATTAAAATATCTCCAGTGAAACATCATTAGACAGAGCTTGCAAGCCTGGAAAGACACAGACATCTGTTTAGAGATTTGTCCATAAAATCTGTACAGTAGCCATCAGGTAGCAAATTATTACATAGCAAAAGGACTGTGATTTACAAACAAAATACTGAAGACCTGGTGCTTGGGGTGTTTTTTGGTTTGGTTTGTTTTTTGTTTTTTTTTTTTTCTCTTTAGCCTTTTAATACATTATTTCATTAAAGTCATGGTGGGGAGGGCAATTATTTTTTATCCATAATTGTATTACTAGAATAAGCTTTGTTTTCCCAAGTGTAGTGATGCAGTTCGACACCTTGTGACTCCAGAGAAATAACGTTCTGAATCTTCCTAGTGCAGGGGTGTTTCAAAACTAGTTAAAACCTGACATAACATGCCCTTGAATCATGTTTTTTATTTTGGATTGCAAGTGCAAAGAGGGTTTTAGTCTTTTTATGTCTCCAATTTAAATATAATCACAATTTCAATTGGTAGCATCACAATTATCTTAGGCTTTTGAGTTAGCAGTAGAACCTAATGATTGATTTTCAATATATTCCATTTCATACTAAATATTGCAGAGGAAGGAAAGAACGCAAGGGATTATTAAGCATAGTTGGCTGTTTTCAAACTCTAAACATTAAAATCCACATGGGGCATTAAAAATACAAATTTGTGTGTATAATTTCCAGTAAGAAACCTGAAGCTAAAAGTTATTATTGATGTTAATTACGTTGGGTATGAGCTAACAAAAAAATAGGTAACTTTTTAATAAATATATTCCATTTTAAATATGTATGTTCCTTGTTCAGCACAATTGTAAAACTAACCAAAATGAAGGTTTTCTGAAGTACAGGCTTAAATGCAAAAAGTTACATAAGATAATATTAGGACAAAAAGTTAGTGTCATGTTCAGAGTTTGGTGATATGTTTAAACAATACATACTTTTCTAAAACAGAATTCTTCTAATACTTTCTGCTCATGCAATTGGTTTCAGTAAAACATTTGAATTAGATGGTAACTATCTGGTGATAGTTGCTATCCAGTGTAAGGAATTTGTATTTAATTGAAGAACTATCTGTATTAATTTCTACCATGGAAATTTTTCAGCTTTTCAATATAAATGATTGATTAGGTAAGTAGTTACATTAGTTTTAATAATTTATGAGAAATGAATTAAATAGTTAAGGTAGTATTTCATCAGTGATTTTATTTTGAGTTAATATCTTTGAGAAAACTGCTCAGAAGTCTTTCTTAGATACAGACCTACCCTATATTTGAGATTTAATGGATATTAATCTTTGACACAGCAGTTTCATATTCCAGTGGTGATTATCTCTGTTTCTGTATAAGGAAACTGTGTGTGCGTGTGTATATGTTTGTGTAATATATTGCAATGAAGAGCCTGTGATGCACCACTGTAATTTATTTAAAAAACAGAAGGGAAGCTTGTATCTGAAAAGAACCGTAACAGTAGCAAATGTCTATTTTAAAAATTCTTTGTGAGCCTATTAAGTGTTACTGAAGGAAAAAAAGAAATGTCTTTGAGAGGATCTTAAACGAGTATCCTAAGAGCAGTCAATACACTTTGGTGTACATCTTAGGAGGTATCTCAGGAGAGATGGATCCATTCTTGCCTCAGCCACAAGCTTGAATTGTGACCTTAGGCAAGTCATTTACCCTCCCTCCCATTTGTGCAATGGCAGTAAAAAATAAGCCCCACAGGTTCATGGTGAGGTTTTACTTCATTAATGACCAAGACAATTTGAAATATGAGGAAGCTAACACTACTGTAATTACATTTAGATATGAGAAGCTGTTTTTAGAACTATTCTATTTGTCCCTTAGTTTCTTTCTGATTATTCTTCTTCTTATGGTAGGATTACCACTGCTGTATACAAGATGCACATCATTTCTAGTAAAACTTGCAAATTTGAGTGAACTGTGCAAATAGAACAGAACTGTTTGGCAGACTTCAGGTTTTTAGTCTTGAGCTTAGCCATTGTAACAAACATTAGATATGGTGTTTTACTGTAATTTATGTTTTGTTTTGATTTGTTTTCATTTTCAGTTCAAGCTCAACAGCTGATGCAAATTCAGAGGAAACAACTAGTTTGGAAAAAGGAAAATCAGCATTAAACAAAGTTTTGGAAACTTTTTGTTCATATCACTGGCAACAGACTTTGGCTATGTTAAAATTTCTAATACAAGATGAAAATGTTCCTATAGCTTGCAGTTGCACGCAAACACATTTGGTCCACTCTGAAACTCCCAGTTCCCTTACAGAAGAGGATGTTCACGTTTCATTTTGCAATTGCAATGGACATGTGCTGACAAAAAGGTGCTGTTTACGAAATCAAAGACCAAACACTTGTTTACCACCTCTATCTGTTTGTGTTAAAGATTTCCATTCTTTGTCATGCCAAGCTGTAGCAATTGGATGTATTAAGACAATGGTGAACAAAGCATGTAGTTCTCATAAGTATTGTGCTGAACAATTGCAAAATTCTAGCAGGCATTCTGCAAAAGCAGCAGCATGTACGTCTTCAACTAAGGACTGTGATCTGTTAAACAGCATTAAAAATTCAAATAGATCTCGCAGCCCATCACCACCTCCCCTGTCACCTGTACAGAGTAAAGAATTTGAAATATCAGAAGGATCAGGCATAGATTTTCCAACTTTAGATAACAACAAGCTTGAAATATCCATCAATCCAGCCTCCATCCCTCTTGCCAGCTGAAAGTAGCAATGAAGAATTTGAATATGAAGGTAAAACATGCAGAGGAAAACTGGCTGAATACTCAGATGGAACACTGCAATCAACAGATCAAGAAGGCAAAAATTATATAAATTCTGAGAAGGTTGAGAACAGTGAACATTATGCCATTTTGCAAGATTTAATGGACCGTATTAATGAAAAGTTAAAATCAATAGACACTACAGACATAGCAACAAATCTTGTAAAGTTTTCTAATAGTGACAGGGCACCAGAAAATGATGTAAAATTAGGAGACTTCATAACCTCCCTTTTGCATAACGCTAAGGCAAGTGATTATAGTTTTATGGAATTACTTCGCCAACATGATAAACAAATGGAAAATAAAATTATCCAAACAAGATTCCGCAAGCGTCAGGAAACATTATTTGCAATGTATAATTCTCCTGATTCACCATTCATTCGGCGACAGTCTTTGCAAATCAAGAGGCAGCTTGCAAGCCTTGATGAAACACTTGTAAGAAAAAAGTCAATTTCTGATAGAAATGCAAAAAAATCTACAAAGACTTTTGATAAGATATACCCAAACAAAAGACACAGTTTTACAGTGATAGAAGATAAAGCTTTGCAATGTCTTGAAAGTAATCCGCGTATGAATTGCCAAACCAAACCAATGTGCTTTCCAGTACACCAAACAGAGTCTTTCAAACTACCTCTTAATAATTTTCAAACCAGCCCTGACTTTCTACTTCTTTCAGAAGACAGAGCTGTTGCCGCCAACCAGGCTAAATTTGCAAAAACACAAGGAGATTGTGAAAGCCTAAAAGAGTCTGATCAGATTCCTCAGGAGGAGGAAAGCAATGAAATTCCAGGCAGAACGAAACGCAACATTGTGCCTCCTGGATGGTATTCAGTGTATGTAACAAACAATATTGTATTTAGGAAATCATCTGATGCAAAAAAGTCTTTAGAAGGTTTGGAAAATATGGAAATAAATAAAGATGTTCATGCTGACAGGTGCAGTGACATAAATATAAGCAAAATTGTGAGAGACACAAATCTGCAAGTCGTTGTAGAGCGTTTAGAAGATACAATAAACTTAGCTAAAAAGACTAACAGCTCATGGTTGGATGCTTACAAAATAAGCCAAAAATTAAAAGATAATGCCTATGAACAGATTATCAACCCACTTGCTAGAAGAGGTTTACCTTTCAGTCTGAGTGAAACTGGATACACAGGACAAAGCTTCCTTCCACATTCACATGTGCCAAGCAGCAGTAAAACTAAAACTGTGTGTGTGACGACAAACAAACAAGAGATGGCTATAGATCAAGAAATTAATGACTGCCTTTTGAAGTCTCTGACCTTTGATTCATCCAGTTCTAATTCCAATAATGAGAACTCACATACAATTTCTGAAGCTGGGGAGATCTCATCTCCCTTAAGCTACTCAAGTCCTATTAAGCTTATGTTCGTCTCAGAGGTTAATAGTAGTGAAGGAGTCAAATACACTTTGACATCTGCAACTGCATCTTCTAAAGGAAACACAGATATTTGTTTATTTCAGGGGCATGCAAACACTGTGTTAGACAAACAGACCACAAAGAATCTTTCTCATGCAGTCTGTGACAAGGATTTCGATTGCAAAGAGAGTGATACCAAGGAGGAATCAAACTGTGCTTATGCAGAAGAAATTACAAACTCATGTGCAGTTGTTCAAACTAACTTAAATGACTCAAAGCAAAATGAAATTGTGGAGAAATCAAACAGTAGCAGTGAATCAGTTTTAAAAAGAAAGCCTGGTAGACCAAAGAAAATAGGTCCTCAAGTTGTTAAGCAGGTTAAGAGACCTATTGGGCGGCCTCCAAAACCAAAAATAGACGTAACTGAAAATACAGAACATAGACCTGCACTTAACAGTGATGGTAAAAGTACCAAATCAGATGCAGCAGTCACGGAAGACGTTAACAGCAACAAAAATATTACTGTGACGGTTGTTTTTGGAAGGTCGAGAAGAACTAAAAGATACGTTTCTGAAGGTAATCCAAATGTCATCAGCACTCTGTCCACAAAACACGTTGATTTCAATGTTGCCAATGACCACAGCAAAGTGCGGCATAGCACAGAAACTGAAAATGCTTTGAGTGAAATAGTAAAAGCCTTACAGAAGCCTTCTACTGAAAATGAGGTCTCTGGTTATGACTATGTTAGACCTATCAAGAGTAACCTAGCATCACCACACCCTTGCAGCAATATTATACGGCCAATTAAGAAACCCCTAACCACCGTTCGAAAGCCTGGTAGGCCAGCAAAAGTAAAAATCTCTGGTATATCCGTGACCATTAATAGATTTTCACCTCAGGAAAGAAAAGTGAGTATTAGCAACTGTTTGCCTCCTTTACAACAGCAGAATGTGTTAGAAAAAAACATACCACAGGAGAGAAACAATCAACTGTGCAATAATATGGGTCAAGTAAAGAGCATGCAGAAAGATTCTAGAGAAGATGGATCAAACAACATTATTACGACAGTGTCAAGGAAACGTGAAATTCCATTAAGACATTCTGTTAGAGACAGAAAACCTTCACTGCATTTTTTGCATTCATTAGCATCCTCTAGTGCGTTTACTTGTAGAAGTGCCTTGTTACATAAGTCTTATAAGCTCCATTTGAGAAAAGCTAAAGATCAAAAGGAAAGACGTAGGCAATCAAATCAGAGCGCCACATCCAAAGATACCTCAGAAATGCGAAATTCAGGAAGTGCAAAAAAGGATCTTAAGGATGGCGAATTTGGGCCCATTAATGAAGTATCATCAGATCCCATCTTTTCATCGAAGCCTTCTCTCAGGTGGTGGGCTACTTCCACTTCAAGTGACACGTTGATGGAAGAACTAAATAATAGATTTGAACAGATAACTAATACCTGGTTGCGAGTGGGGGGAAATGAGTTTGATAAATGTGTGTGTGAAAACAGGGATCCCGTTGAACAGGACTGTAACACTGAAATGTCAAACCCTTTAGACTCCTGCCTTGTAGAACTTGAAACATCACCTATAAAAATGCTTTTTCAGAAAAAGTGTAATATGAATGAGCTCTGCACCTGGTTTATGCAAACTACAGAAACGCAGTCTCTCTCTCTAGTGAGAAAGGCAAATGCTCGCAATCCTTTAGAAGTAGTTAGTACTAGAGAGATAAAGGTGGAAACTAAGCAATCTGACCTTAGTACTTGCCCTTTCAGAAAG